TGTGTGTGTGTGTGTTTGTGTGTGTGTGTGTGTGTGTGTGTGTGTGTGTATATATATATATACACACACACACACACCCACACACATTTTTGATTTCCAACTAATAAATATACTGACATACACATTAATGTGATAAAGACGTTTTTAGTTATACCGCCCACCCTAAAGTTCTGTAATTAAAAAAAACAACAACATGACGAAAAAAATCACGAACTTCAAGCTCATGTTGTCATAAAAGCTTTGGATGTTTTACGAGGTGTATTGTTAAGTTGGAGGCATTGGTGAAAAACTGCAGAACAGCACTGCACGTCATGAAAAGAGATGCTGCTAGCGCTCCATTACTGATATTTGTTGTTGGCAGTGTCGACTCTGAGCTCGTTCTATATCCTGGCCTCTCCTCTGTACAGCCGTTCGCAGACTCTCATGTTAACCTATGCAATCCTAATGCTTCATCTTGTAGTTCTCAATAGAGGTCTTCAGTAGAGTGTTTGACTTGTGTTGTTGTGCAAAAATCAAAGATTCCTTTTATGTGCTGTTTTTGTTCAGAGAAAAACAATATTTATGACCATGTTTATCCCCAGAGTTGGAACCTCATTGGTCTCTGTAGCAAACACCCTCAGCCCAGTGTTAGAACAGTGATGGGTTCATGTGCACCTTCTATTTTTGTGAAAACCAATAAACAAAGAAAGGGGTGTTAAATAAACATGTAAATGTGAATGTAAATTGTGCCGTGTTAATTATTTGTTTGTTGAAACCGCACTCTCAGCAGCAGAGTCATCAGTCTAAATGTCAACCACTGTTGAACTATAATTTCTGTTTATTATTTTTGTTTATTGTTATTATTTATATTCATTTAATATTTATTATTTTAAGTTAATAATAATAATGTAATCCAATATATAAATATGAAATGTTGTTGTTGTTATTTTTATTAGAATTGCTTTAGTAGTAGTAATAAAAGATACATATTTAAAAGATTATATTTGTTTATATTTATATTTAATAATTATATTTAAAAAAAATATTTTAAAATGGTATTATTTATATTTAAAATGTCAATGTTTTTATAATGATTTACACAATTTAATTGTATTTAAACAGTATTTTAGCCTTAAGTAATGAAATGTTTGTCGCCCTATTCAACAGAAGAGAAAAATGGGGCAATTTGTTTTAATTATTATAAACTGTATAAATTATATTTGACAAATATTTATTGTGAAAAGCAAATGCAACTGCCATCTTCACCATAATTTTTAAACCATTTTAAACAGTTTACATATTTTAAACATCTTTATAAAGGCGAAACATATTTATCATCTTTTTTTTTTAATTCGCATGGTGATACTCGGGCCACACACACACACACAGCCTTGTCTTCTCCAGGTAAGATTTCTTCTTTCACGTTGAGGCCCATTTGATAGAACAGCCAAGGATATTTCCAAAATGGCATTTAGATGAAAGAAATGAACTCCTGGCAGACACAGAATCCCAGGTGGCTCAAGTTAATCATTTTTTAATCTTGAGGAATCGTGAAACAAGGCAAAAGCATCGGCCATGTTAGGGCACATCCTACAAAACATCTTTCAAGGATGTCTGGGTTCTTTTTTTTTAAATACTTAGTTCTACTTGTTCAGACCTTTTAAATATTAATCTTATGTATATTGTTCTTATTATTTTTATTCATCTAAGTTATAAACCAAACACCATTCTCTTAAAAAAAAAATAGTTTCACAAGCCAGTGCAGCCAGACTTGCCAGGATGCTTGTAGGAAATTTGCTGTTTAGGAGATTTTCTGGAGTTTCAAAATGGCATTGACTTTAAAGGAGCACTTAAAGCAAGGGAGTTCATCAATAAATTAGAGCTTTGGAGCAAAAACTGTCTAATTTGCTTTTGTGCTTCAGGCCGTGCAGTTCCTGCTGGCATTGTATAACACAAAAATAGCCTTCTTCAAAAGTGCGATTATCTACACTTGTACAAGCCGTTTCTGCTGCTTCTGTGTGCTAATGACCTCTTTTGTCATTTTGACTTCACATGTGAAATACTTAACATCCTGAAGAAATGGTAAATGTGGGTTGACATGTTAATGTTCAAATTGTTGGGACGTCTATAGATGTTTTTTGAATGGTGTGGTTGGACTGGTGATGGATGTTTTTAAAATGATTGTAATTGTAACAGTAAAAGAGTAATGCTACATTAAAAACCTGATAATTGGTTAACATTCCCGTATTCTATATGGTGAAAACTGTAGTGGATCTAATTTAATGTAAATAAACTGATGAATATGTTTTTTTTTTTTGTTTTTTTCAAATTGCAGAAGAACAAGCCGTCTTACATTTTACAGTAAAAAAACAAATTGACATTCCCAGAATCACATCTGATGTTTTTCATTGAACCAACTCAGATTTTTCTTATCGTTTATGTACCTTAGGGTTTTATGTTACATCTTATGTTGTTAAATTATAAACAGTTTACATATTTTAAACATCTTTATAAAGGCGAAACATATTTATCATCTTTTTTTTTTAATTCGCATGGTGATACTCGGGCCACACACACACACACAGCCTTGTCTTCTCCAGGTAAGATTTCTTCTTTCACGTTGAGGCCCATTTGATAGAACAGCCAAGGATATTTCCAAAATGGCATTTAGATGAAAGAAATGAACTCCTGGCAGACACAGAATCCCAGGTGGCTCAAGTTAATCATTTTTTAATCTTGAGGAATCGTGAAACAAGGCAAAAGCATCGGCCATGTTAGGGCACATCCTACAAAACATCTTTCAAGGATGTCTGGGTTCTTTTTTTTTAAATACTTAGTTCTACTTGTTCAGACCTTTTAAATATTAATCTTATGTATATTGTTCTTATTATTTTTATTCATCTAAGTTATAAACCAAACACCATTCTCTTAAAAAAAAAATAGTTTCACAAGCCAGTGCAGCCAGACTTGCCAGGATGCTTGTAGGAAATTTGCTGTTTAGGAGATTTTCTGGAGTTTCAAAATGGCATTGACTTTAAAGGAGCACTTAAAGCAAGGGAGTTCATCAATAAATTAGAGCTTTGGAGCAAAAACTGTCTAATTTGCTTTTGTGCTTCAGGCCGTGCAGTTCCTGCTGGCATTGTATAACACAAAAATAGCCTTCTTCAAAAGTGCGATTATCTACACTTGTACAAGCCGTTTCTGCTGCTTCTGTGTGCTAATGACCTCTTTTGTCATTTTGACTTCACATGTGAAATACTTAACATCCTGAAGAAATGGTAAATGTGGGTTGACATGTTAATGTTCAAATTGTTGGGACGTCTATAGATGTTTTTTGAATGGTGTGGTTGGACTGGTGATGGATGTTTTTAAAATGATTGTAATTGTAACAGTAAAAGAGTAATGCTACATTAAAAACCTGATAATTGGTTAACATTCCCGTATTCTATATGGTGAAAACTGTAGTGGATCTAATTTAATGTAAATAAACTGATGAATATGTTTTTTTTTTGTTTTTTTTTTCAAATTGCAGAAGAACAAGCCGTCTTACATTTTACAGTAAAAAAACAAATTGACATTCCCAGAATCCCAGAAGCTCACATCTGATGTTTTTCATTGAACCAACTCAGATTTTTCTTATCGTTTATGTACATTAGGGTTTTATGTTACATCTTATGTTGTTAAATTAATAATAATAATAATGAATTATTTTAAATGTCGTGCGTTACCATGATGGTGTTTTGTATTTCTGTATATGATGCTGTACACCAGGGATCCTCAAATCTGGCCCACGAGATCCACTCTCCTACAGAGTTTAGCTCTAACCCTAATCAAACACACCTGAGCATGTTAATCAATGTCTTCAGGATCATTAGAAAATCATAGTTAGGGGAGTTTGATCAGGGTTGGAGCTAAACTCTGCAGCGCATTGGCCCTCCAGGGCAAGATTTGAGGAACACTGCTATACACCACCTGTATATTAGTATTCACTTCAGCTTGAGGAAAAGCTACTTGTGATGAACTTTAAATTCATCATGTGGATGTCATTACCACCTGTGTTTTAAAGGTGATTGTCCATATATTACAAAGATAAAAACAGATTTTAGTAATGTGGTAGATTTAACATTATTTAATGAGGTACAAAGTACTTAATTACTGTAACTTTATGATCTATCTGTAAACGAAATGTTCCTAAAAACCTTTTAAATAGTAGTCGTATGTTCTTATTTTTACTCATCTTTGTCATACTCCAACTGGCATTCTCTTGCCAGTATGCCTGTACTCTAGCTATTTTGCCTTTTAGGGTATTTTATGGAGTTTTATTCCTATAAAATCACATTAATTTTAAAGGAGCTCTTAAAGCAGTGAGTAAAGTGTTGCTATGGGTTTTTTTGACTTTAATTTTTGTTTTTAAAAGTCCCCCTAGTCACTAATCCCATCCCTTAGACCTCATGGTTGTGAATCAAAACCACATATTTCAGCATTTCAACATGAAGATAAAGTCTTTGTCCTAAAATAGCTTTTATTATAAATGTACGTCCACTCTGCAAGTTGAGGGGATTGGTTACATGTTTGCAACTGTAGGTAACAGGCTGTTTCAAACTGAATTTTTAAGATTTTTGTCTTTAGTACACTGCAGTTTTACGGAGAAACGCTCATCAGTGGTGTTGACTGATGAATTTGCACTTGTTTTTTCTTTAAGCATATTAAAGACCTATAGGTAGAGATGTAAACAACACTTAAACATGTAATCTCCACACTGAGTCTTTAATTTGTATTAACTTGTCTGCTTATTCTCTTTTGCAGATGATCTGCCTAACATCAACGGCTTCGATTCTTCATCAGGAGCCAGTAACATCCAGAGCTCAGAGGTTCCTGCAGAAGAAGACGAGGTTCTGCGCGTGTGCAGTGGCTCAGAGCTTCTGCTGCTGGACTCCAAACTCCTCAACACTACGTCTTTCAAACTCTCGCCATCGTCCTCACCAGACGTCTTCTCAAATGCTCCATTCCCTGGGTGTGGACTAGACGGTAGGGACATCTTCACCGGCGCGCCATTTCCCCAACTTCAGCGAGCCCATCCACAGCCTGATGTCTTCCTCCAGGCCCCATTCTGCAGGAGGAACGATCTGTCTGGGCCGCAACATGTAATGAGGTGCTCGAATGGCAAGGAGCCCATCCTGCCCCATCCTCCCGTGCACAGTCAAATCCGGTTTCCGCGTTGCGTCGAGGCTCCAATGCCCCAGCAGCCCATTGCCGCCCACCGCGTGGTCTCCAGCGTGGGCCAGCAGGCGGCCGTGAGCTCCGTCCCCGTCGGCCCACTTCATTCCTGGACGGTAGGTGTTCGAGCAGTGATGGACCCATTCCTGGCGGCCCCGTTCCAACCTCGGGGCCCATTGGGAAAGCCTTAACATTTGAGAAAGTCACTAGCACCCCGTCCTGTCGCCCCAGTGCTTGGTAGTATCTGTGGAGGTAGCAAATCTGGTGTAGTCTATCATGAGATGACTACCTCAGTCCTCGTGACGCCATCTGGCATCACTGCAGCACTTTAGCTCAGCTTCACTATGATGTTGTTCTTCTGTGCATCGCTCCACAAGACATTTAGAGAGGGATTTCATCTTTTGATTATGATATGTATTCATGTATTCATCCATTTCTTTTCTTAACAGTTTGAGCTTTTTTTATATCATACATAGTAAAAATATTCTTACTTTTACATTGAGTCCAGTATTAAAATGATGGTCCTTTGTTACTCTCAGTTTACTAGTGTTTTTGTCTAAGGGAGTGGCTAAGAGGAACAATTCAACGGTTTTTAGGCTTTTCGAAGTATTTTTGAGTCTAAAAGTTGGAAGAATATCCAGAAACTGATGACAGAATTGCGTTGAGGCTGGAGAATCGCGTTTCTTTGCTGTTCTTGTCCCTTTCTTGAATCCAAGGTACTGTAGGCGCTCTTAAGCTGGACTGGAATAGGTTGTAAGTAACTGACAGTCAGATCCACACCGTCTAATGAGGTGAAAACATTGAAGCACTTTTACAATCTGTAATCGTGGATATCGTAGTTTTGCTATATAACAATCTGCTGTATATTCACTGTATATTCCTTACATGATAAATCCTTTGTGTTAAAATGTCTTGTCTTTGTTCCTTCATAGCTTACATATGACTTACAGGCTGAATGTATATTATTTATTTATTTGATCTATCTATCTATGTATTCATACATTATAGTTCTGTATTTTATATATAATCATTTCATCAGCAGTTATTAGCATGTGTTGCATTTGGGGAGCAACTACATCAAGAGATACATGTCTACCAAAAAAAAAGTTATAACAGGCCTTAAAGGGATAGTTCACCCAAGAATGAAAATTCTGTCATTAATTACTGACCCTCGTGTCATTCCAGACCCGTAATCTTCAGAACACAAATTAAAGGGTTAGTTCACCCAAAAATGAAAATTAGCCCATAAATTACTCACCCTCAAGTCATCCTAGGTGTATATGACTTTATTCTTTCAGACGAATCCAGTCGGAGTTATATTAAAAATTGTCTTTGATCTTTTTTTAAGCTGTTTCATGGCACTCAGCGGGTGCTGCATGCATCAGTCCAAAAGAAGTTAAATAAAAAGCGCCCATCCATTAAAAAAAGTGTCTCACACGGCTCCGGGGGGTGAACAAAGGCCTCCTGTAGTGAATCGATGCGTTTTTGTAAGAAAAATATCCATATTCAAAACGTAATAATCACTTTAATGTAGCTTGTGCCAACAGTTGTACACAGAAGCAGCTCCGGGCTGATGACATATGAGTTCAGCGCTGCGCATGCGCCGGTGAGTCTCGTGAAAACCAACGTTTGTTAACAGGAGCAAAGGAAGCAAAGTTTCCTTACTTTAGCAAAGGAAAACCAGGCTCCTCTTGGCTTATATCGAAATCCTCTGACATTCTTCTTTACAAATCCTCATTTTGTTCTTCTAATAAGTGACCGTTGTTTTGACCGTAATTTTACAAAGCTACGAGAATACTTTTTATGTGCAAAGAAAACAGTAATAGCATAATTCATTCATATTAATTTATTCATATTTGTTAAGCATGCGTGCGCTGTCTACTGAATGTAAACAACGCTGATTACATTGATTACATTCTGGAGTACTCTCCAAAATAGCGGAAGACGGTAACTCGGGGATAAGAACTGCTGAATAAATTATTTTTGTTTTCTTTGTGCACACGCTGATTACATTGATTACATTCTGGAGTACTCTCCAAAATAGCAGAAGACGGTAACTCGGGGATAAGAACTGCTGAATAAATTATTTTTGTTTTCTTTGTGCACAAAGTGTTCTCGTAGCTGCGTAATATTATGGTTGAACCCCTGATGTCACAAGGACTATTTTACTGATGTCCTTGCTATGTTTCTGTGCGTTGATCGTGGTAATATCCTTGCTGTTTATGGAGGGTCAGAGAGCTCTCAGATTCCATCAAAAATATCTTAATTTGTATTCCGAAGATGAACGAAGCTCTTGCAGGTTTGGAACGACATGAGGGTGAGTAATTACAGAATTTTCATTTTTGGGTGAACTAACCCTTTAAGGACCAGCAGCTCTTTTTATTATCTGTACTTGACACGAAAGCTGTGATGAATTCATTTTTGATCTGTCATTGATGAATCTCAGGACATATGGAGTATTGGCTTGAAACAACACTGAGCCATGAAGCAGTGCTAAAGTATTGAACAACAGCCAATGTGCTTCAAAGATTGCTGGCAGATTCCACTGCTGTTTAAAAACTTCTTATGTTGTGCACATCTTTTGAAGTTGCGTGAAGGGGATTCTGCAACAGAATGGCAGCATGACCCTCCTACAGTTTGCTTTCATATATTCACCGCCACCTTAAATTCATCACTTTATTCAGTTCTTGAAAACAGAAACATCAAAACACATGAAGTTGCTTTTGATGCTACAAGGCAGAACAGCAGTGTATTCTCTGATTTATGTAAATCCATGAGTCTCCAATATCTTTTTGTCCATGTGTCCATATGCCTCTGCAAATACCGCGGTACCAGACGGTGCAGGGCTGGCAAGACGAGAATACAAAACAATAATCCTTTTATTTGGCTCTCTTCTTTCGATTCAGATTGTCTGAAGAAGTGCATTGAGATTCATCAAACTGCATCTTATAAGCTTGATTTGAGTCCTCTGTGAATACCCACTATTGATTTGTAATGAAAAACTTTGGCCTACTTTGACTTCAGGTTGTCTGTAGATATTTGATTTTATATACACTCACAGTTCAAGAAGCAAAGTCTTTGTTTTTCATCTCTTATGTGACGCATAACATTTTTAATCACTTCCCAGTTTGTTTTGTGGCCAGTTGTCCTTTTGAATATCTGCACACAAGCACAGAATGGAATTTTCTACCCTGCTTAATCGTGTTTCACAACCAGTGCTTTGTCTCTCGCTTTTAGTAGCTCTATCTGTCATGGTCTAACGGCAAAAATTAAAAAATGGTTGTTGCAATTTATAGCTGTGATCCTGCGATAAACAAAAGCTGATCATCAATAATAATAGTCAGTACAATAAAAAAATCTTTTCACAAGCTAAAATTAAAACATAGTGTTTAACATTTTCATTAGATTTTTTTGTTGCTGTTAACACTATTGTAGTATGTATTTATATTTTGAATTGGCTATTACTTTTATATTGTTAGGTTTCATTTTATTTTTAGGTTAAGTTTTATAAAATTGTCGTTTTTATTAATATTGTCTTTTTAATTTTTCTGTTTATCTTTAATTTTTAGTAGTTGTAGTTAAACTTTTTAAATTAAAATATTCATCTATTTTGTCACGTTTTAGGTAAAAAAAATAATAGTTTTAATAAACAATAACACTTGGTGCTAAGGTGTTCTGAGTGTTTTTAGGATGTTGCTATGTTAGGATGGGTGGTTGGTTTTTAGTGTCTTGCTATGCAGTTTCTTGCTATATTTTGAGTGTTTTAGCCTGTTTGCTATGTTAAAGTGTCATGAGTATTATTAAGCTTGATGCATGTTTCTGAGGTGTCAAGATGATTTTAGTGTTTCTATGCTTTTTCTAAGGTGTTCTATGTGTTTTTTTAGACTGTTTGCTATATGAGTGTTATTCATAGTTACAGTGAATAATTAATGAATAATTAATATTGTTAATAGTTTGCTAAATTGTTAAGACCAGGTTTGCTAAGGTGTTCTGAGTGGTTTTAGCATGTTTGCAATATTTAAGTGTTACGAATAAGTTATAGCTTGTTTCTGTGTGTTTGCTAAGGAGTGTTTTTACTATATTGCTGTTTGTTTGCTGAGTATTTAGGAGCAGCTTTGTGTTGCTTTCTGTTTGCTATGGTTGTTCTGAGTGTTTAGCATGTTGCTATGCAATTCCTAAGGTGTTCTGATTGATTTTTAGTATGTTACTGAGGTATTCTGGTTTTTAGCATGTTTGTTATGTAAAGATGTTTCAAGTGTTTGTGTTGCTGTGTGATTTCGATGTTTTTAGCATGTTTGCTATGTTCAAGTTTTATGAATACTTTTAGCTTGTTGCATGTTTTAGCATATTGCTATGCGGTGGTTCAGATGTTCGGAATTGTTTTAGCATGTTGCTTAGGTGTGCAGAGTAGTTTGTGTTATTTTGTGCTTGCTAAGGTGTTGCTAAGATGTTCTTGAATGCAAACATCATCAGTGTAAATCAGTGGGGAAGCTGGAAACAGCTTTTTGAGAATCCCTTTAGGCCCCGATCAGACAGAACTCGTTTTTTGCAGTGAGAGGCGCCTTTTTTAAATTGTTCTCTGTTGGCAGTGAGCGTTTTGCGCGCTGTTTATTTGGAGGAGTTTTGGTATACAGAACGGTTTTGGAGGAGCGCTCTCTGAGCGCTTGAAGTTGAAAAAAAAGCAACTCTGAGCGGAAAAGCGCCCAATGTCATTCATGTTTTTTTCCATTGTCCAATCGAATGAACGGAGAGGCGGGCCCTCCGTTGTGGTGACGAAAGTTTACCGTTGCTTAGAAAGTCCGGAGACTGCAATGATGGAGGAGAATCATCTCTGTTACGTATGTAACATTGGTTCCCTGAATAGGGAACGAGATGCTGCGATGACGTCATCGCTTTGGGAACGCTATACCATAACGCCTGACGTACCTTTAGATAGCTGGAAGACCAAGGAAAGTGTCTGCTCAAGCGGATAAGACCTGGGAGCCAGGAGCCGACCTCACGTCCAGACTGTAGAACTTGATGAATGTGCTAGGGGAGGACCATCCTGCCGCAGCACAAACATCTTCCATCGAGGACCCTTTGAAGAAGGCCTGAGAAGAAGCCACCGCTCTTGTAGAATGAGCACGCACCCCTAAAGGCGAAGTCAAGCCACGCACCTCATAGGCCAGAGAGATAGCCTCCACTATCCAGTGTGACATCCGCTGTTTAGTGACAGCAGAACCTCTGCTCTAACCACCAAAATACACAAACAACTGGTCAGGCCTAGGTCGCAAAAAGACTTTAACCAGCCCAGGGGCAAAGTCAATACACAAAGGGCTGATGGAGAGAGCCTGCAGATCCCCTACTCTCTTAAGGGAGGATAAAGCCACCAAAAGAACCGTCTTGAGGGTCAAGAGCTTCTCTGACACAGACTCCAATGGCTCAAAAGGATGGCCTGTCAGGCCCTCCAAAACAATCGACAAGTCTCAAGAAAGAACTCATGGGCGGAAAGGCCTAAGCCATCTCGAACCCTGCATAAAACGGGAGACCAGGGGGTGGCGACCAACTGAAACACCTTCCACGAGTGCATGCCCCACCGATATGGCCGCCGCGTACACCTTAAGAGTGGCGGGGTGAACGACTTTGAAGAAACTCCAGTACTGAACCGATGAGGCAATGGACTGGATCTAGAATGCGCTGTCTACACCAAGAGGCAAAAAGTCTCCACTTGAAAGCATATAAGCGTCTCGTGGAGGGAGCCCTAGAATTTATAATAGTGTCTGTAATCTCGGCTGAGAGACCGGAACACATTAGTGTACTCCGCTCAGGGGCCACACCCATAACCTCCATAATTCCGGTCGAGGATGCCAAATCATGCCCCGAGCTTGTGTCAACA